GTGTCTTCTTCAATTTCTTTCATCAGTGTCTTACAGCTTTCAGCATACAAGTATTTCATCCCCTAAGTTATATTTATTCTCCAATCTCCTCTATATGACAGTGACACTAATCCTACTTCCTTTTGAGTATTTCACTGGCCATTTAAGTGGCAAAATTGGTGCAGAAAGGCAAGGAAATGAGTTCCTAAGTGCTGACATTCCATTTTTCCAAAGGCAGTATTTTAGGATTATTAATCTGCCATTCATTGTACCAAATAGATTTGAATGGATTGGTGGGGGCCTTTGAAATCAGTGGGCTGTTGGAAGAGAATAGGGTTAGCACAGTAGGTAATATGAATTCTGGCTTTGGTTCTGCCACTGATCATCTGCCTACCTTACTGCACTGAAAGCCCTGCACTGTGCCTCCATCCAGGCCTTTCTCTTCCAGCACTAAAAGTCTATGATTATATATTCTGGAAATGCATAATTCAGAAATCCTATATTTAAGGATGGATGTGCTACAGATTTGGTTATATTTCTTGAAATTACACAAAATAAAAGGCTGAAAGGCTGATAGAAGATGGTAAACCTACAATATTAGATCCTCAGTGCTCAGATCAAGAACCTACTTTTGGACCATTAGAAATCCTGATCACTTTGCTTCATGTTAATGATTCATATATCAAAAAGATACAGTATACTTTTTTCCCTGATCCTTATTTTTATATTTTTCTTGACATTAATCTCTGAGCATCTTCATCATATCACTGACATCACCAAATGTTCAGGTCACATTAATTGGTGTTTGGTTCAACTACTCTTGGGCTCTCGATTGCTTTCCTCTCCCCCAATCCCTAACAGCCATCAGCAAACACCACTGTCCTGGGTGCTGACACAGAACAGCAGTTGCATTCAATTTCCACGGAGGTCACCCTGACACAAAATATCCTAAAACCTGGGCAAGGAATGATAATCCCAGCTATTTAAAGAAAAGCCCTTTAGTTCAGTCTGGTGTTTCTTACACAGTTTTCTTTCTGCAGAGAAATCCAAAGGTAAACAGCTTTGACCCTGCCCTTCCAAATTCATCCCCAGTCGATGAGTTTAAGCCCATGTCTCTGGCAAACTTGAATCTTCTCAGGTTTCTTTCTCCATATTTCCTGGAGAGTGTGATTCTGGCTCTGAAAAACGAGGTCTTCTACAAGGAAGAGACAGTTCACATGCATGCAGTTGTTCCTAGGCTGTCATCCTTATTAGCTCAGCTGACTGTTGGAAGAAATGCCACAAATAATTTTGAAAGGAGGCTCTGAAGTGGGCTCTAAATTACGAAGTGTTGCAAGCCTTCAAGAGGAAAATCAAGAAAGGGTATTGGCACTATGGAAAAGGTAATAAAAAAAATTCTAAGTCATTCTCTTCACAGAATTGACAAATGATATTTAACGAAAGGAAATATACGTATATGAATTTGGGAACTATAACAAAGCACTGCTGGACCAAGAAGGGATGAAGAAAGTGGCTGTAAAGCATCAGGATTAAAAAACAAACGTGCTCATAAAAAAGCTTTCAACAGAATAGACTGAAAACAAGTTATTTTAGTTAATTATTCAGTAGGGACAGTGGTTTTTGTTCTACAGATGGGAAATTGAAACCTTTAGAGGGAAAGTAACTTGACTATTATCATAAAGAAACAGGACCCCACTGTTCTGATTCTCAACTCCCTCTGCACCAAAATCCAAACGACATTCCATCTTTTATGTTCTATTGTTCTCTAAATTCAACTCTCTAGGATGTGGAAACTTTGATGCTCTTGGAAATTGCTTCTATATTTGTCCAGTGCCAACTTCTGTGCTAGGAGAAGTTTGAAGTTCAACCCAAAAACACAAGGCTTGGCACAGTCAAAAGCTCATTACAACTTCTCATTAGTTGTGTCTCTTGGGACAACTATGGCATTCCTGAGTGTGACTCAGTATGATCAGTCATAACTGAGGGTTCCTGATTAATCTGGACTGAGCCAGAATAAAGCCACAACAAGCTCCAAGCAAATGAAGCAACACATCTTGTAAGAAGAAAGCAAAAAATTACATGAAAATTTCTTGAAATGCCATCTTAGCATTAACCAGGCCCTGTATTTGTACTTGACATTAATTCATTTATTCATCTTAGGAATCCCATGAGGTATTATCATTATCCCTAGTTTAAATAGGAAACTAAGTCACACAGATGTTAAGTAACTTGCTATGCTGGCTAGGAACAAGAATTACTTTAGAACGATAAGAATAGTGTATCAACTGATACTTGGGATCCTGATTTCACGAGCCATGAAAGGTTTCCCTATATTAAAAATAACTTCATTAATCCAAATAAAGTATGGAGTTGAGTTTACAGTAATGTACCAACAGCAGTCCTTAGTGTGGTACATTCTTCACATGTACCATGGCCGTTAAGCTGTTAGCAATGGGGAAACTCAGTGTGCTTATCTTTATGTGTACTATCTTTACAACTTTTCTGTAAATCCAAAATAATTCTAAATAAAAAGATTATTTAAAAAAATTTATCTGGGTACTTCCCAGAGGGAGCTTTGCATTGAGTTGGTTCAGATGAAAACAATGCTATTCTTTTTCCTAAAAGTTAGAAGAATATTGAAAACAGTGGGGCTCTCATGACACTGTACATTGTACATGTAAGGGAGAGAATGTTAAGGTCTCCATTAGTGCTAACTTATTTAGCTTCAGAGACTTGTGCTAGAGTTTTAAAGGCAAATTGGAAACTATTTCCTGGAACAACGCCTCACAGCATGCCTTTTGATACTTGGATTATATTTCTTAAATTCTGAAGAAATCTTGCTTTTTTTTCCCCCCTTTTTATGCATTTTTGGTGCTGAGCTGTTTCCGGTTTTCCCACACTCCTGCCTGTCAGAGAGAAGAAACCACAAAAATGCAGCAAAGCAAAGTCTATCCGTGGAGCTGCGATTCTATCTCAGAAGGCTGAAGAGCTTGGCTGCCAGCAGTGAGTTCAGGGCAGTGAGCAGTCTCTTCAAATGTCCAGCCTTGCTGCCTGCTGATGGAGCCCCCTTCTCCACCAGCAGACCAGCTAGGCACAGGGGCCACCACGGGCCACTTCAGGGTGTTGGCAATAATCGAAGAATCCACAAACGAGGAGCCCACCGGCAAGTTTGACATTCATAACCGACTCCCTGATTTCCCTACTTAGCTTCTCAAATCTGGGAAGCAGAGTGTGGTTTTGGAATGCTTACCACGGTTACTAAGGCTTATTGAGTTCTTAAGTGTGCTAGGTCTTGTTCTATATACTATACATGTATCAGCTCTGCCAATATTTATCAACTGTCCTATGAAGCAGATACTCTTTATTATCCCCACTTCACAAATAAGAAAATTGAAGCCAAGAGTTTAAGTAATCTGTAACTTGTCAACGATCTGGAGTCAGTACAGTGTGGAGGGGGAATGTGATACAGGCAGCCTGGCTCTGAGGGCTGTGTCTTTAAGGCTTCTAGGGTGAGGGGCCATACAGTTTCCTTCTTACTTTTTTTAATTAAAAAATTTTTTTAGAATATGAAAACAAATATATCTATGTATATGCATGACTGAGACATTGTGCTGTACACTAGAAATTGACATATTGTAACTGACTATACTTCAATTTATAAATAAGTAAATAAATAAATAAATAAAGGAGATACTAAAGATTGAACCCAGGACAGCTTCCTTCTTACTGTGCTATTAGCCTCCATCCATGAACTACAGCCTTCTTATTGCCCTTCCCTACTGTTCCAGAGAACTCTATTAAAGTCATTATAATGCCAATTATTCCTAGAACAGTGCTTGGCATTTAGTAGGCACTGAATAAATATCTGCTGGATAAATGAATAATGGTAGTCATATAATTAAAACAACCACAAGGGGTTGTTTTCAACCCAAATCCCGAATTTGATTCACTATCCAAGGGGGAAAAAAACAGTAACTGCTTTTTCTATGTCCTAGGATTCCTTCTTACAACTAAAGTTGATTTTGTGAAGGACAAGTGAATGAAGAGTCTTAATGAGAGCAAAGAAATACACAAATCTCCTCCAGGTGTTTATCCATTGGGGAATGCCTGCCTCATCCAGACATCTTTGAAAAATCTCCCAATTTTAAATAGAGAAGGGCTGCTAGAACCAACACTCTTTGTCAGTCTATTTCTGGTTTACTAGTGAAAAATGGCTGGAGATAGAGCAAAGGATGTGACCTAAAAAAATGTGATTCATGAACAGAAATGTCTTTTTTGAGGTGAAAGAGGTAGACAACAGGTACTAGAAACATTGTTTCTAAGAATCTGAAAAAAAAATGTATGCATGTACACATATAACTGAATTGCTTTACTGCACACCCGAAACTAACATTGTAAACCAACTACACTTCAATAAAAAACGTACAAAAAACCCAAAACATTGTTCCTACACAGAGCCAGCTGACTAATGTCAATGAAGTTAATCCCTCCTATGAAATCCCAATCTTTTGTCTTCCCTTTCAAATACCTAAAAGTGAACAAGCAAGAGTGTGGGTGAGGGAAACGTGTTGAACTTTATATGGAAAAGATCTAATTGTGTAGAATGACTGAAAGAAGAATACAGCCAGGAGGAAGTTTTCATTTCCTCCCTCCAAGCCCACACAGTCAGCACTGTCACCTGGTGCGCTGTCCAACTGCGGCTCCCGGTAGAGGCCAGAAGAGTTGGTGAGCAGTGACCTGAACCCTGCCAGTGGCAGCTCTCAACACAACCCCACGGCACAGTGCCTGCCCCTCCCACAGGGTAGAGCCTAGAGATCAACCACGTTTTAATGGCTCCCTGGGTGGTTCTAATTTGCAGCCAGGGCTGAGAACCAGAGTTAGCCTTCATTCCCCATCAGGTGTTCCTTGTTTTCAACATTTCAGGAAAAATTATCTAGAGCCTCCATAAACAAAGAGCACTATTAAAACAGAATTGTGAAGAAGCTCAGAAGAAACTGAACAGAAGATTACTGGAAACTTACTTGGAAGCCCTCTGGGATGTTGCCTTTCTGAGGACTTGTTTGTGATTAGATGGAGGTCTGGGGACTAGGGAGGAGGAAGAACTTGGAGGTGGTACCACTTTTTGTGGCAGAGTTGGCTTCTGGCCACTAGCTGTGGCGCTTGAAATTCTGCAAGCTGCACCATTATTTATTGTCCACATACTGGAGTTAGGTAGTGTCTGGCTGCCAAAGATCGCCTATGAGAAAAAGAGAAAAAATGATTGATGAAGATGACCTTCACAAACTAAGTGAATAACTGATTTGTAATCCTGAAGTGGGACAAAAGGAAAAGGGAAAGTGTTAAAATTAAGTAATTTGTAATGAAAAACTCCAGTAATGCCAGGGCAGGTCTAGATTGAGAGACAGGAAATACCTTGACGCCAAGAGTTGAGATGGTCTTATTGAAAGTACCCCGGGGTAGGAATCAGAGCAGCTGGGTACCATGTATTGGTCCATATGTGAGAATTAGAAAAGCATTTGGTCTTTCTCAGTCTTACTATCCCTTCATTGTTAAATTCAACAAGTATTTAATGAGTGTCTCCTGTTGGGTGTCAAGTACTAGAAATATAGCACAGAACAAAAGTGACTTGAAGCCTACTCAATCCGAGCTCACTCACAGAACTCTGGACTCCTCTAGAAGGTTTGCACTTTGGAGGCAAAGGACGGAGCAGTGTGGCTGGGGCGCAGTGAGCAAACAGAGACTGAGGAGCGAGGAGGCTGGAACAGAGCCCAAGGGCCAACCTGGAGGGCTATTGTAGAATGCTGGTGTAGTAACACCTTGATGACCTAAAGATTAGCATAAGACTTTACATTTGTGAACACTTTCAAAGTAAAATTACTACAATAAATACTAGTTTATACATGCATACAAGATCAAAACAAGGGTATTTTTGCTCAGAGGGTAAGCCTAGATATACTAAATAAAGACCTAAAAACTGCCATCTAAACATCACAAACACCAACATGTATCAGTTGTAAGGATGTATGTGAATGTGTACTTCCTCAGAGAGAGGCTTAAAAAAAACTCTTACAACTTATTTACTTCATTAGAGACAGGTTTTTTTGTGTGTCACAAGTTTTGTTACTGATTCTTCAATCCTGTTAACACTGCTTTCAATATGCATGCATCACAAAAGCTTTAAATGTAACAATATTAGGAGAAAAATAATATAATTGACAAATTACTTAGGACTTTTTATTAAAAGGATCTCTGGCAATTGATTTCCACCTGTCTGCACCATAGTTAAAGAGACGTGGGAGAAATGAAATTTCCTCACAGCGAGGCCAAAAGGAATCAGATCAAATGCTCTCAGGAAACATTCACCTTTTAGGTAAACTTTACTGGTATTATTTTTGTCCTTTATGAACTTTATTTTTCAAGATATAAAAGATGAACCAGGTGGCTTTAGCCAATGTTAACCAGCCCTTCTACACTAATGCCTTGGAATGTCCCATTTCAGGAAAATGTGTCCAAAAGTCCCAGGCTGGGCTGATACGTGGGTGATCGAGGGGTCTTGTGTGGAGGGAATGTGTTTGGCTGAGAGGTTTGACAAAGAACAAAGTGATTTCAGAGGCAGAGGATCAGGGCGTTTTCACACAGACAAAGTGGGCTGAGATGTTCCTCATCTCTGCAAACCACCTGAGAGGGAAACTAAGGAGCTGTTTACTTTCCTCCATCTCTAACCAGGGAAGAGGAACCAAGGAAAACCCAAACCCACGGGCACAGCCAGGAGGGCAGTACTGTAGAGTGTGTATGGGGGAGGCAGGAGGGGAGAGATGGGAGAGGGTAGTGGGGTGGGAGTAGAAGGAGGCAAAGAGGGTTAGTCTTAACACCAAGGGAGAGCATTCAGGAACCCTCCAAGAACAAGTAACCAAAGGGTACAGCAGAGGCTACCTTGTGCCATTGGCTCAAAAGCAACCCATTCCTTTTAAGCACCATTTCCATATCTGAGGTCCTAAAATCTGTGAGAGAGGCTCAGCTGAGAGGGAAGAGAGAGGCAGGAAAGGGCTATCCCAGGCTTCTGGTGGTGAACACTACATCCCAGTAAGTGAGCTTAGATTGAAGAGTGCTTGAAAGGTGCCTAGTTCAGGATGGGGAGGAGACCAGGAATCAGAATGAGGGCTGAAGGGCTCTACACTGGCCATCCATAAACCAGTTCACTGGGTGAGTAATAGAGGAGGAAAACCACTGTTAGTAAAGAGCTGTTGGAAATAAAAATATTTTTACTGAGTTAGATTTTTCGTGCTGTGAGGGAACTGCCGCCAGTAAGAACATCTATTCAATACATTGTACCATGGTGACAAGTTAACCGTATTTCAAATTCATTTGAGTTTTTCTTTTGTTAAAAAATCTTCCTGGGGCATCTAAATACAAATAAAAGGATGAATAAGAAGAGCAAGATGAGAACAATGAGTACAGTAAGCTTCTATTGTGTAAAAAAAATATATATATGTACACAAACATACATATATATGCAACAATACACACATACAAACATTTACACCATGTTGGTATCTGCACAGAACAATTCTAAAGGGATATTTAAATAACTGATAACCTCTATGGAAAAGAACTGGTTAGCTAGGGGCCAGGGGGAAACAGAAACTAATTTTTTACTGTGTATCATTTGTACCTTTTGAATTTTGTAACATCCATTATGTAGTTACTTATTATAAAAATAAATTACTGAAAAGTCAAAAGGAAGTCGAGTTCTAGTAAGATTTAAGCAGGTAACAGATTAACCCTGAGTACAAATCAAAGTATCCAAATGAAGCCCAAGTTTCAACCAGCTAGGTAAAGGAATTGCCATTAGACTGAGTTGAAGAAAGAATTGACTGTTCATCACTTATTATGGCTACAAAACCAGAGTAGATCAACAGTGAAAGGAAGAGCCTAAGGTAAGTGGAAAGGAGCATGGCTTTGCAGTCAAATGTGCTGGGCTCAAATGTAACCCCTGTCACTTATCAACTGGGTGACCTTTTCAAGTTACTTAACCTCTCTGAGCATTAGCTTCCTCATAAGCAATTAAAATTACTTTACTGGATTGCTGGGGATTAAATGAAGAGCACACAAGTAAATGCAGCCCAGGCACTCAACAATGATTTCTTGAAATGAATCCAAGTACCAGGCACACAGCAGACACTCAATGCTCCACTCCTTCCTAAAACACCACCTCAGTTTCCTGAGGAACCAAAGGGCGGGATGACATGTAAGTCGGCTTATCTGTAATGATTTGTGAATGGTAGTTGGTTACGTATTTTTCAACATATTTTTCTAGTCTTATGATGATACTCACTAGCTGCAAAAGCAAACTCGTAAAATGAAAACACATGTTTAGGTTCTCCAGACCATATATACTCAATTCTCTCTGGCAGAAATAATCTTTTCCTCTTCTGAACGCTTACAAAAACTTATTTGGCTGCGTCTTATCACATTTAGCACATTCTACCTTATATTACAGCCATTTATATATGTACTTTTTTTCCCTTCTGGACAATACATACTGGAAATGCCTCGATTTATATCTAATTAATTTTTGCTTCACTAACAGGCCCTAGTAGAATGCTTTGTGTATAAAAAGTGCTTAATAAACATTTACCCCATGAGTGAAAAAAAACTCACATTAAATCAACTACTGATTTTCTTTTTGTAAGCAACAACTAAATTCATATACAAGAAAATAGACAAGTTTGTGTTTACATAGAGATGTAATCTTGCAATAGGACCATCCTCTGGAGTTTAAATAGTGCCTAGTGTGTTACGTGTTCAGCTCATACTCAGCCACAAAGTGTAGGTAAGCCCTTCTACAGATCCCAAACAAAAGCAAATTCACCTTCCTATATGCAAATTTTAGACATTGATGTTCCACAGTCATAAGATCAGTCTTTACCTCAAACAACAAAGTAAAATAAAATAGGAGAATTTATTACTTGGGAGACTCATTTGCCTGGATACTAATACGTCTTCTTTTCTTCCTAATAAAACTGCCTTGATTTTGTTTGGGTAATAATGTGTGCCCAGCTTAAAAATTACATTTCCCAGTCTCTCCTATACCTTGAGATAGCCATGTGACATAGTTCTGAGTTGTAAACAGAAGTTTCCAGGTGCAGTTTCTGGGAAAGCTCTTTAAAGGGGGCAGACTGGGTTGGGTGGTGCACAGCTTTTGCCCTTTACTGTTCTTCTCCTTACCTGTAACATGCATATCCAACTAGAGGTGGACAGGCATAGGGTGGAAGTCACTTGCTAAGAATTACGGAGGATAAAGACAGGAGGAACATGTGCTCCTGATAGCACCATGGACTTTAAGAGAGCTCACCTCTAGATTTCTGATTATGTGGGGAAAAGAAAATAAATCTCTAACTTGTCTAAGCCATGGGTGGGGGGTATTTTATTCCAGGCAACTACATGGAATCCTAGCTGAGCTGAGATATAATTCTCAATCTACCAAAGAGTCAAGTTTGTTTAAGCCTTAATGTAACATAAAAGTACTGCACCTCAAAAAAGGAGACAGTCTTTCCAAACACAGGAAAAAGCTTCTATGTTCTCATTTGTTGTTTGGTGATCATACTCTTCTTATATTGAATGGATAATGAAATGATTACAATTCTATGCCATCCCCAAATTCCCAGAAGTCAGTAATGTAGCCAAGTCCATCCCCAGGTGTTTCACCAAAGCCAAGGCTAAGTCGAATGAGAGACTAAAGTCATCAAATCTGATAAGAAGAAACCCAGGAAAGTACTCAGGCAATGTTAGAAGCAGACATATAAACAGATGCATTTAGACTATTAGCAGAAATCAGCTACCCCGGGCCTCCCCCATGACGGCCTATATTGGCCCTAATCCTACAACTCTACCAATGACAGATTCTGTGAACTGTTTCGTCCTGATATTCATTCATAAATGAATAGAAGAATTATATAAACTTCTCTCTGCAGAATTGCTAAGAAATGTGAGGTTTGGATATATAATCTTAGCACTCTGCACTTGTGGGTTAACAACGTGGGACAGGGGCCGCACTGTCATCAGTCAATGTCCTGGCAATGTGAGAGCTGTTATAAGCACTGGCATCCATGCAAGACCTGGTCAACAGATATAAGACTTTTGCTTCTTTATTGGGTGTGGGAAACAGCCACGCTTCAGCAAGGAGACTCGGAGAAAACCACAGTTTGAGGGCTGGCTTGGCCCCAGGCAAAAGAC